ATTTTTGTTAAATCTGGTTTCAATAAGGGCTCTGCAGAGAATACCACACACAATATAGGTTACTTTTTTACTATTACTAGCTTAATGTTACAGAATTAGTTTTGCTTGACCTGATAGTATAGGTCTACCTACCCATAAACCTTTTTTTTTTTTTTTTTGATTGAACTTCCTTCCTTAAAACTGGTTGGCAAATTATTCCGATTTTTTGCTCCGGTAAATGAAAGAGTAAATGTATGCATAGAGGTATGGAAGCATTGATGCATGTATGCATCAATGGATGGATTCATGGGTGCACGGACCCATGGATGCTTTCAGATAGTTAGATTTGCTGTCGTAGTTTGCGTTTTCAAAAAATCTGATTTTAGTTAAACTACCGAGCTGCTGACAAAGGGGAGGCCCGACTATAGCTACGTAGGAAATTAAAACGCCTAATAAAAAGGTGTGCTATACATAAGTAGTAGAAACACATTGGATTGTTTCTTGTATATAGCAGCGATACGGTGACGGAACTTCAAATCAGTCTCCTTTTACTTTACAGATCAACGGATTTGCTTGTGTCTGTCCTAATGGATTGACAGGTCTGCAATGCGAAGTTAATATTGACGACTGCAAATCCAGTCCGTGTGCAAATAATGGCGCGTGCTCAGATCTAGTGGCAAATTACACCTGTTCCTGTCCAGAGGGCTTCAACGGCTATAACTGTGAAAACCGCATTGACCACTGCAAAGAAACTAACTGCAGTCAAAATGGCTTCTGCGTTAACTCTCATAACCATTTTTACTGCAATTGTAGCGCTGGCTACTTCGGAGATTACTGCGAATTGGAAATAGACGAGTGTTTACCAAGGCCGTGTTTTAACAACGGAACCTGCCACGATAAGGTCAACAGTTTCACTTGTTCGTGTGCTGATGGGTATACTGGAAGGTACTGTGAGCTTAACATAGACGACTGTGTCAATGCCTCTTGTCAAAATGGCGCTTTTTGTGTTGACCATATTCTCGGGTATTCTTGTCTGTGTCCCGCCGGATACAATGGAACCTACTGCCAAACCGAGATCAACGAATGTGAATCGAACCCGTGTATCAACAATGGTACCTGCATTGATCTGACACCAGGTTACAAGTGTGAATGTTTGAGTCAGTTTACTGGAGAGAAATGCCAAAACGTTACAGACGTCTGTCTATCAATGCCTTGCCTCAATCACGGCACGTGTAGGTCTTATAATTACTCAGAAGACTTCAGCTGTACGTGCAAAGCTGGCTTCACCGGAGAAAAATGTGAGGTGGACATTGACGACTGTGCTTCAGAGCCTTGCATGCCAAACGCGTATTGTCAGGATATGATGAATAGTTACAGCTGTGAATGCTACCCCTCTTACTCTGGAGACAACTGTGACATCTGTAAGTTAGTATTTATGACAGTTCTTTATTGGTAAAACGGATGAAATGGGAAATGCCGCATAGATAGAAAATACTCAAGTTGACACTCGGAGGTGCATTCAAATCGAAACTCTTACCTAAACAACGCAATACAGGTAGAAAGACGTAGGATGAGCCCTTCCCTCAGATTTATTTATTTGTTTATTTTTTCTGAGGGGAGGGATGTGGTAATAAGACGTACAAAGACTTGTTTGCGTTTAATAGATGGTACTTAGCTTGCTCTCCAGGATACCATTGTTTATATGTTGATTATGACGTCGTCATCATTGATTTCATCATTTTCTGTAAAGGTCAAAGAAATGTTCATTGCAGGATAATTAGCTCAAAAATGCATTTGTTATGGCATGTCAAAAGACGAAGTCAAATATTCGAATTACCAAAATTTCCATCAGTTTGGAATAAGGAGCCACTGAAAGCGACTGAAAGTAAATATATCATCTTCATAAACTCTGAGAGAGTTGCTGACGAGCTGCGGACTCGCGTGCGAGAGGGAAAGAGAGAGAGAGAGAGAGAGAGAGAGGGGGGGGGGGTGGGTGGCGCGGTACTTCATACGACAGCATTAGCAGCACAGCAAGCTGCATTTTTAAATTTCTCTTTAATCTGCAGCGTCCTTAAAAAAGTGTTATAAAGTAGCTCGGCCATTTAAAATGGTAACATTCCCATAAGAACAGTAGCAAGTCGATAATTGAAAACAATGAAGTAGAGCGGATCTTTTCACCCACCTCGCGAATTCTTCATGTCAATGAGCTGTCCAAAAATGGAGCCTAAGAATTTTAAGAAATGTATCTGACTATACAATCTGTTGTTATGTAGCATTTAGTCATTCACGCCTTTCTTATATATACAGTTGAACACTGCTTCCCTTCCCTGTATCATTTAATTGAAGAACTCTTCAAATACTTGGATGAATTAGTCCTTAAGTATGTCACTTTTAGATGTTTCGAAATGGTCCTTGAAATACTTGAATGTTAGTTTCCCCTGACCTATCTTCACTTTGACTCGTCAACTCCCTACCTTTTTATATCCCTTTGCCCATGAAATGGTAACCCTTTCGAGAGGAACCGCTGCAAATTATATTTTAAGTTCATTGTAGGGAATGTTTCACAATAGAGGGAGTATCCTAACACTCGTTTTCTCACTTTGTTTGCAGTTCTTGGCAGTGACTTTGATCTCATTTTCAAACGCAAAAGCATAGATGACATGATTTTGCTATCAGATGGCAAAGGTCTTCCAAACATGGATTCTTTCACAATCGCCCTGTATCTTCGTGCAGACTCCAGATACAATTCAGGAACATTGTTCAGCTACAGTGTGCCTGAGCAACCAAACCATATCATCGTGCTTTCCTTTACAAAGTCTCAAGTTCAGCTGGAGATCAAAGATAGCACAGTAAGTGCAGACTTTGAGTTTACGGACGATCACTGGCATTTCTTGGGAGTCGTGTGGCAGGCGATAACTGGGACTGTCTCGGTGTACGTTGATAGGGCAGAAATAAAAAAGGCAAGAGGCGTCAAGACCAACGATACGATCATTGGCGGAGGGTGGGTTGTGCTTGGCCAGCGATATCTCGCAGGGGTAAAGATTTCAAACCTTTCAACAGCTTTTGCCGGCACTATGCACCAAGTAAGCTTTTGGAATGTTCCAGCAAGTCCTTTAGACATGTGGAACGCGGCTCATAACTGCACGTGGCCTATCGCAGGAAGTCTGCGTGCATGGAACAGCTTCCTCTTTGGAGTCAAAGGACATGTAGAAAAACGATTCATGACACAGTGTAAAGGTACTTAGCATTCTTGGTACAGTCCTATTTAGGTCATTTACTTTTGAAATCTTCGAGTGAATTCATTTCTATTTAATTGAACTGTAATAACATGAATCAGCTGTCGCTTTAATGTTATTAGTGTTATGTCAATTATGAAAGTTGAAGATAAAAACTTTCAGTAGCGGGCAACAAAATTGTTTTAATGTTTGGAATGAAATAGCTGTAAATGATCGGGGAAACAATGGATGGTCAATGGATTAAGATGACATATATTTTACCGGTGATATAGTTTCTGTCACATACATTGATCACCACTCAAGAAGTCAGCGGTTTTGTTTAGTTTGTGCTTCGATGTTTAGAAGTTTCGTTTCTTTTGTACAGCAAACACTCGCGTTATTGATGGATATTTTTTTTTTTTTGCTAAAATTTCATACCGGTATTGGCTCCACATTCACCACGCGCACACGTACACGGCTAGGCTTTCAAAACTAGAACACCATGGGTGTAGCCAGCAATTTTCAAGGGGGGGGGGGGGGGGGGGG